TATCGTGTTTTCACCGGGATATTACCATTCTGGTCTTGCAAATTTGTGATTGTGCAATCTTTAGTAAAAACTATTAGACTTGAATTTATGACTAATGATACACAGTGAGCCAAGAAAAGAAGAGAGTTAAATGTGATTGATTAAACATATTATTTTAAATGAAAACAGAACATGCCGCCCACCAAAATACAATGCATTTTCAGTAATTACTTAGTTATGAAGTGGTAAAGGACAGAGCTTCACCACAGGTCGCTTTAGTAAACCACTAGTCGTACGAACGGTGGCCACGCGAACAACTCCGTCGGCGCCCGGATGTACCTCTATTATACGGCCCATATGCCACCGCATAGGAGGCATCAAGTCGTTTTTGATCAGAACAAGGGTTCCAGGGTTTACGGAAGTGGGTCCTTTATGCCACTTAGAACGTTGATGCAAGGTGTGAAGGTACTCATGTGACCTGCGACGCCAAAAATCCTGATGCATTCGGGTCAATAATTGCCAACGGTCTAAGCGACCAATTGGAACACAGGTTAAATTAGGTTCAGGAGGCACGGTCAAGGCTTCCAATGTCAAAAAATGGCCTGGGGTGAGTGCTGTCAAGTCATGCGGATCGTTACTAAAAGGAGTAAGGGGTCGGGAGTTGAGAAATGCTTCTATTTGAATTAAAAGTGTATTTAACTCCTCATAGGTCAAATTTTGATTGCCAACTACTCTATAAAGATGCGTTTTGATAGACTTCACGCCGGCTTCAAAGAGGCCGCCGAAGTGTGGGGCAGAGAGAGGATTAAAACGCCACTTTATACCCTCGAGTGAAGCTGACGCCGACATAAATCCATTCAGCTGCTTAGCAGCACTAACAAAATTGGATCCACAATCTGAAAAAAGATGATGACAACGTCCTCTGCGAGCGATAAATCTACGCAAAGCCGCTAAGAAAGCATCGGCAGATAGATCGGAAGCAAGCTCCAAGTGGAGGGCTTTGGTAGCAGCACAAACAAATAAACACAAATATGCTTTGCTTGTACGAGAACCACGATGGCGAGACATAAGTACTTTAAAGGGGCCGGCATAGTCAACGCCAGTGTGAGAAAAGGGTTTGACTTGTGAAACGCGAGCGAGAGGGAGATCGCCCATTGGGGGTTGTAATGGTCGGGGATTTAGTCTATAACAGACAATACATTTGGATAACACACTACGAATGACTCGCTTAGAAGCAATAATCCAGAACTGTTGGCCAATCAAGTATTGAACGCTCTGTACTCCAGCATGGAAATATTTCAAATGAAAATAGGTAATTATCAGTCGAGTCAGAATGTGATCACTGGGAAGAATAGCGGGAAATTTTCTATCAAAACTGAGGGAAGAATGCTTTAACCGACTACCTACACGTAACACATTTTCGCTATCTAGAAAAGGGGTCAACTTTCTAAGAGGTTTAGAAGGCAGTTCATTCCTAGAGATAAGAGCAATGTCCGTAAAGAAAACAACAGACTGAACATATCTAACAAAAATTAAAAGAGCAGTATGCATTTCTAGACTAGTTAAAGTACCTTCTCGCAGAGCAACAGGAAAGCATAAGTTATGCTTGAATCTAAGCACATAAGCAAATACTCGTTGCAATTTGTTCAATGAGGAATATTTTGAGATAAGAAGGTCAAAAAACTCCACAGAAAGCTCTGGACAAACTAAACAAGTTTTCTTCTCCTCCGGAATTGCTTCAGGAGTAGAATCACGGGAAAAAGGAGACCAATTGCGGTTAGAACTATTTAAGAAAGTTGGGCCCGCCCACCATAAAGAGCATTGGGCTAACTCACTAGGAAGAAGGGCTCTTGAACCCACGTCCGCAGGATTATTCTCGGAAGAAACGTGGTACCAAGAAATAGAAGGAAGTTCCCTTTGAATAAAGGCAACGCGGTTACTTACAAAAATATTCCAGCGATGGGGCGAAGAGTGGATCCAATGAAGCGTTATTACTATAACGAGTCACTCCAGGCGAAAACTTTGTTAATAGGAAACTCAGGTTGATATACGCCAAGCACATAAGATAACAAACGAGAAAATAAAACTGCGGCACATAGCTCCAAGCGAGGAATGGAGATAGTTTTAAGCGGCGCAACTTTAGACTTGGCGCAAACAAAATGAGTGGTAACTTTATCATCAGGAAGCACAGCACAAAGAAAAATAACTGCACAATATCCCTTCTCCGAACTATCGCAGAACCCGTGAAGCTCAAGACTATCATAGGGTTGGGGAAAAAGGTAACGAGCTATTTTGCAATCTGACAAAGACGATACTGTATTGGTATATTGATCCCAGAGACGCACTATGTCATTAGTTGGGGTTGCATCCCAATCCAACTTTTGATACCATAATCTTTGAATAAGATGCTTAACAAAAAAAGTTACAGGGGATAAGATCCCAAGGGGATCAAATATTAAGAGATAAATCCTCGCTATAGAGGTGCGAAGGACGAAAATCAGTTAATAAACGGGGGTCATTGCTGCACCACTTACGCAACTCGAAACCGCCTTTGGACAGCAACGAGATCAAATTCTTTTGCAGCTCTCTGGCGTCCTCGATCGTAGAAGAACCTCCAGTTAGGTCATCCACATAGGAAGAATTTAAAATCACATTCGCGGCTACTGGATAATTGTCCTTTTCTATTTCAGCCAGCGTGAGTAGCGATTTTATGGCCAGATAAGGAGCACAAGTAAGTCCATAAGTGACGGTGAGAAGACGATAATCGGCTATAGGGTCGGTCTTAGAAAATCTCCAAAGGATTCTTTGATAATCAACGTGCTGCGAATCTACTAAAATTTGTCGAAACATTTGACGAATATCAGCAGTGAATACGAATCTATGAATCCTAAAACACAATAGAAGGCGAACTATATCTGTTTGAAGCTTGGTGCCAGAAAATAGACAGTCATTGAGTGATTCCTGTCCGGCAAATTTGGCGGAAGCCTTGAATACAACCAGAAGTTTGGTTGTAGGGCTAGTAGGTTTTATAACACAGTGATGGGGTATATAAAAATGATGGGTTGGTAGGATATCAGAGGAAATAAGTTCCATATGTCCCAATTCGATATAATCCTTGATGAAATCAGAATACGCAGCATAAAGAGGCACATTTTTTTCTAAACGGCGTTCTAAGGACAGAAAATTATGCAGCGCTAAATCTCTACTCTTTGGAAAGATCGGGCTTGGCCCTTTAAAAGGAAGTGATACTACAAATCTACCAGAGGGGTTTCTATACGAAGTGTCTGCAAATATTTGTTCACATTTAGCATCGTCAGGAGACAACATCTTTGCGTGAGGTACCTCTTCCACCTCCCAAAATTTCTGGACTGTTTCTTCAAGGGAAGAATGGAGACACAGATGAGATTGAGAAAACAAGGAGGTAGAGGTAGAGGTTGTCTTTCCCATAAGTATAAATCCAAATATCGTATTAAGGGCTACAGGTTCATTGACACCACCAGTAAGGCGACCATCCTGTAAAATATACGGGAATAGGGGAGCTCCAATGAGCATATCAATGGGACCAGGACTATTATAGAAGGGATCAGCCAATAGATGAGTAGGTAAATGCGGCCAGGCTTGTACGGAAACAGTACCATTAGGCTGGTCGCCGCAAACTTGGGGTAGTACAACAGCTTCGACGTCGAAAACAGGCGAAACTTTCATAGAAGGACGAAGTTTGGTGAATATGCCCTTCGGGCATTTGGAAATTGCTGCTTGAACCAATCCTTGAACAGAATACGCGGTATCGTAGGACGATAAGCCTAAGCGCCTTACACAGTCTTGAGAGATAAAGTGCAACTGGGAGCCGGAATCCAAAAATATGCGAATTTTTTGAAACTGGCCTGTACCGTCTAATACTTCCACAATGGCGGTGGATAAGAGAATATTGACATTTTTTGGAAAATTCCATTAGCAGCTAAATGTGGAGAACTGTCCGAGTTTTGCAGAATCTGATCCGCCGGGGTGATACTTGAACCAGGCGTTGCAGCATTACTAGGTCCAGGTTTGTTCTCAGCGCGTTCAAAATGCAACAGAGTATGATGTTTTTGTTTACATTTGAAGCAAACATGAGGCGATTTACAATCCCTTATAGGATGAGAATTGCTAAGACAATTCAAACAAATGCGGAGAGAGCGAACTAATTGATAACGGTCCTGCAGGGTTTTTTCCAAAAAAGTAGGACATCTATATATGGCATGTTTATTCTTACACACAGGGCAAGTTTGAACTCCAGAGTTGGATTGTGCACCAGCCAAAACACTAAATTTAGGGGATGGAAGAGAAGATTTGTTATCTTCCCTTTTAGCAGTTTTCTTGTCTTTTACACAAAACTGGCTAGAAGAAACATTGTCTAAAGCCGAACAATGTTTACCTAGGTAGGTACTCAATTGTGAGTAGGTAGGGGTTGCATGAGAATCATGCTGCAATTCAAACTTAGTAGCAACTGAAATATCTATGCGTTTAAGCAGCATTTGGATAAGATGAAATCCCAAGCATCAACTGGCAAATTCAAATTGCGAAGAGCAGCCAAATTATCATCAAAAGTTTCCAATAATTGGCGTAACTCAATAGGGTTGTCACTTGTAAGCTTAGGTACATTTTCAATACAAGACCAATGGGTAGCGGCAACTAAACGAGGATTCTGAAACCTTTTTACCAAAGTGTCATAAGCAATAGGATAATTCAAATCTGTCATTGGCAATTTTCGAATCAAAGCTAAGGGTTGTCCCCGGAGAAAACTAAGTAGGTAATTAAATTTTTCTATATTGCTTAGTGCGCTATGCTTATGAATTAAAGCATCAAACATGTCTTTAAAGGTTGAAAATTGGGTAACATTTCCTGAAAAACAAGGAATTTCAATTTTTGGCAACGTCACATTCAGATTACTTTTTCCCGACGAGGAAGGACTTCTAGAACTGGAAGGCCTGGAAAGTGGGCAACTACTTGAAAATAAGTGGTTTTGATAATCCAATAGTTACTTTCAAATTGGGTTCGAATTTGATCTTGAGTTTTGAACTCATCTTCTTCCTGCTCATCATCAATACTCCCAATTACAATATTATGATGTTTGAAAAAATCATCTCTTATTCTTTCGACATCTCCATAACGCAACTGAAAAGAATCACGACTAGCTGGATCATTTACCGCCTGCTGTGCTGCTAGAAGTAGCTCTGCCATTCGACTTATTTCACTCTGTCGGAGACTTTTCGCCTTCTTAGCTTTTGTATCTGACATATTGATCAAGGAAAAGAAAACAAAATTTGAATAAAAAAGGTGACGAAAAGGAACAGAGAAAAACGATAACTACTATAGGAAGACAGTGCAATAAAATTCAAAGAGCAAATAGGTATGCACAGAATACGATAAAATCTATAAGCGCGCAAATTCAAAAAACTTTATTTGAGCCACTATATATGCACAGCGACGCTGACGACGAGGATTGCCAAAGCTTTGTAGTAGCGTCGCAGTGAAGACCTGAAATACTCAAAAGAGGGAAGAGGTAGATCCGACGCGCGAGAGTGAGTGAAAAGTACGACGTCACGTGCGCCTGCTTAAACGACTTGCTGTTCAGCTCGGCTGAAATACCTTGCAAATCTATCTTGGAATTTGGACGGCGGAATGCACAAAAAATTAGTTTAAATTTAAAATTTAACTGACAATAAAAACTATTTACTGGAATTTGTGCACTCAAGCAAATAAAAATTTATTATATGCAAATTTGACTCCAATAGAAAAATTTATATTTAAATATTCTATAGGTACTAATAAATAAAATGAACAACTAGATCAATGAATTCTTTTTCAATGCCTATAAATAATTTTCAAATGAATATAAAACAAATTTATTTATATTAATTTTTGAAAGTGAAGTTCAAGTAACTTGTTCATTCGGCGATGGGGGACCAAAAATAATGTGCAATCTTTAGTAAAACTTGGACTTTTCAAAGTGTTTGAAGAAAGAAAAAAAAATACTATTTCAAGGCTCAGTGTGAGATAAGTGGACTGTATCAAATCTTTTAAATTCAAATAAAATGGAGGTTTTGAGACCTTACCTTGAACTTCTGGCTTCCATGTAGAGGTGTCCACGGACACCTTTTTCACACACACACACGTTTTCCGGACTGGCCAGTCGACGCGTTTTTTTTTGTTCTGTTTCTAAACCGTGAAACTCGGCAAATTAAACACTTAGTTGCGGGTTCTCTATAAATTTATGCGGGTAAACTAACTATTAAAAATTAAATGCGGGTTCTCTATTGAAAGTTTTTTGGGGAAAAACAATGTCGTTTGGTTGACGTTCGTTCTGCTTCTCTCTGCGGCTAATAGCAATATTTTTGCTAGCACCAGAGTAGTTTTTTTGTCCTTTTTCACCGCACACGCGCGATCTTCCTTTAAAGGCCTCAAAACTATTAGACTTGAATTTATGAATAATGATACAAAGTGAGCCAAGAAAAGAAGAGAGTTAAATGTGATTGATTAAACATATTATTTTAAATGAAAACAGAACAGTGATCTTCAAAACTAACACATAGTAGTTGTCTGTTATTTGAAATCTCTCGTAGGATCTACCCTCATTTCTTGAAGAGATTCTTGCAGATGTGGAAGTCTCACACTATATTCCTTGTTGGAAAGCTCTATTGGTATTTCCGGCATCCGAACGAAAGAAGGGTTCAATAATAAAAAAATTTTGATTAGTGTGGCCATGCTTTTTTCGATTTCAATTGTTTTTTTCAGATAAAGGATTCTGATAATAACATAAGCATTTTGGCAAAAAGGGTATCTATTTTACGGAAAGCGAGGCAAAGAAATGGTTATCGAAAGTTTTTATGTTTATACATGCTCTTTTATTATTAATTTCTGGTGGTAATTCTATATACAGGGTGTCCACGTTCAACTGGTCAAAAATGTTAGGGTACTCATATGAAGGAACCATAGAGAAGCATGTAGTTTGAAATAGGACACCGATGGTCGGAAATGCGTCGTGTCCAAAATACAGGGTGTTGAAATTTGACAAAAAAATCGAATTTTTCCCTCTATATAAAAAACGCTTTTAGCGATTTTAATGAAATTTTCAGGATTTAAATGGTAGGTGGTGATGCAACTTTTCAAGGAATTGCAGTTGATTTGATCCGGGGCAATAAAACTTTTAAGGTTCTTGTATGGATTTCATTTTTATACCCAAAGACGGTCCGTTAGAGAGCCCCACAGAATACAATTAAATACATAGATAGGAATCCCGACACAACGTCACCGAAGTCGGACTCCGTATTTTCCATACATATTAAATCCTTATAATTTAATCGTTATATTCCTTGGCATTTTCAGAATTTTTGCTGCTACAAATTTGTGTTTCTAACTACTGCAGTCAGTGCAGTTTTCTACTATTTTCAACCAATAAAATTCGCTCTGAATGGTTTGTGATTTTGATTTCTGTGATAACAAACTTTTTGAGGCTGGTTTAATAAATTTGAACGCAATTACCTTCCTTAGGAGAACGTGCCAATATTGGGAAATATTTTCAAGTCCAAGTTTATAAATTTTCTGTAAATTTAAAATTTTACCGTTCTTGATTAAACAAATTGCCACTGTTCGCAAGTCTAATCAGACATTACCAAATTTACCGATAATCGATCTGCTAATGAGTGATGAGATGAGACAGGTGATTATCGGTCAAACATTCGTATGCTATGAGTCTGCCAAAAGCTCAAAACAACAATTATTTTGGAGAAATTAGAAATCGCAAATTGTGAATGCAAAATGTTTTAAAAATAATATGGGCATATATTTTGTTTATAACATACATGCCAGAATTGCAGTGGAATGCCACCACTCATTCCACAATAAAACACGGTGCAGCATAAGAACCAGTTCCCTGTAAGGTTCCATTTCCTTTAATAGCCTTTCTACTCGCGGATTTTTCAAAGTAGAAAGAAAACTTATTAGATAAAAAGTTCTAATAATTTCAGTCCCACTTGATCTGCCGCTTAGTTTATTTTCCCTTTTAACCCATAATGGGTATATACTTATTGTTTAAGATTTTGTCAATCAGGTAATTTTCATCCCTGTTTATATTGCCCTCAACGTTAACGTCAATCGCATAATTACTACATCAACCGTATTAAAAAAAAAGAATACCATTGAGCAATATTGTGAACTATAGTCGACTATGGGGTTCTAGGTTCTAGGTATGAAATATTTAAATAGGGTAAGTCCGGGAGAGTTCGACCACATTTTGGAAAAAAAATTGTAACTTTTTTGGTTTCTGAGATATATTATTTAAAATCTGTTGAAGCATTGCCTAAAGGATAAGGATAGTATAAAAATATAAGTCATGATATAATACGAACATAAATTTTTATTCTGAATTAAAAGGTCAAACATTGCAACTGGTCGATCTCACCCGCATGTCCGGGTTAGTCCGACCATCAACTGAGGGTGAGACCGACTTCGGAGAATATCAAAACATAAAATAAAAATCCATATTAAAACAGCATATTAGTGAAAGTATAATAAATGCGTATTAATAAATTTAATTTTCACGGCGTTTCTTTCTCATTTTTCCGCATAAATCGCAAAAATTCTCGAATTTGGAGCACCCATTGTGAAGCCAACGACTGCAGTCCACACATTTGATCCAATCGTCTTTCTTAGTGGTTTTGAAATAATTTTCCCCACACCCTACGCATTCATTTTCGTCCCATTCTTCTGCAGATGTATCACTTTCCTGCAATACTGGGCTTTCGCTGTCTGAATCTGAAGATTCTAATCGTTTTTTCTGTTTAACCACAGCTTTCTTCTGAATTGGACATCCGGTCTTTTTCTTTGTGTTTTTTTTTTCTTTCTGAATCTCGATGCGTTGTGAACTGTTTAAAATGGTTGCAAGCTGCCTACCTCGTGATTTAACTGCTACTTTTGCACTGGTTTTTGGAATCGGCGAAATCACATTATCCAACAATTTTCCTGGTGTGGGGTCGAGTGTGGGTTCGATCTCCACTGTTGCAGGATCAGGGTCGCGCGAACAACCAGGCTGATCCGGAAAAATGCGAGTGTTAGTTGCCTGAACGGTAGGGACCCGGGGTGGAGTCGGAGGAGGGGAGATATTTTCAGCCGTATTATTTGAACCAGGCGTGGCTTCTCCATCTTGTTCCATTTGAATATTAATATACGCATAATCTGGAATGACTTCTGGATTAAAGGGTGCAATGCCTGTAGCTCTAAATCCAGACATCCCATTGTCCACAGTTGCCGATTCACCCCATGCTTGTCCCAAAAGATTTCCAAAAATCAACCTTGATATTTTCCTACTTGGATTCGCTTTTAGGAAATTGTTGCAAGCCGAGTAGTAATGGTTTTTCAGTGATTTAAAAAAGGACCTATCCAATGGTTGAAGGTAATGAGTCGTGTGACTTGGTAAACAAAGTAGAATTATGTCATTAGCTTCGGAAAACTCCAGCACTTCCACAGAATTTGTGTGAGAAGTATGCCCATCGACGATTAACAATACTTTTCCAGCTGGTTTTCGTGGCAAAAAATGAAACTCCAACCATTCCTTGAAAATGGTAGCATTGTCATACGCTGATTTCTGTGACATAGCAATTTGGGAGCCAGGTGGCATTCCGTCTAAAAATTCTTCCTTTCTATTTTTTCCTTTAAATATTGAGTAAGGTGGGAGAAACATTCCCTCAGCATTGCAGCACGCAATTACCGAAATTGTTTCGCCCTTCTCGCCGGATGTTAACGAAGAAACATTTTTTGAGCCTTTTGCGGCTAACACTTGGGTTGGTCTATTGTTTAATTGCAAACCGCTCTCGTCCATGTTAAATACATTTGCAGGTTTGTGATGAAGTTGGTTATTAGTGAGAACATTTTCTAGAAGGGTAAAATAGTGTTTCACAGTCTCGCGGTTCATTCCAGTCGCTCGATTAATAGAGATTCCTTCGGCTTTTCTAATCGATATTTCAGGATGTCGTCGCAAAAATGAGTTAAGCCAATCGTAGCCGGCTTTGCCTTTTTCTTTATTAAACGTATGCTTCAATTTCAGTTCTTCGGCAAGTTGGAATGCCCATATTCTGAGAGACTCGCGATCTGGTGCAAATCCAAATGTTTGCAGTTTTTTTATGTGTCGCACCAATTTAAGTTCTGCATTTTCTCCCAACGCTGATGACGGACCTAGTCTGTTTTGTTTTATTGCATTCCCCTTCCTAATACTATCTTTAAGGGTTGTTTTAGGGATTCCA